CTCGCGCTGTCGTTAAATCGTATATCGTCTAATCGAATCTATACGAGTGAATCTCCTTTTTCCTCTTTCATCGCTCGTTCGATTTGCTACTTGTGATAATAACAACGACTTGCCTCCTGCAACCGAGAAAAAAAAATGTTGTCTTCTTTTTTCTGGCTTTCGTTTTTCAAAAAAAATGTTGGTCCTAGTATCGCGGCGATACATAAATACATATACATGTCTATGCGGGTACTTCTCGTTCGATTAAGTTGTTTGCCTTCTCGAGGAAAATTTATGGCTGTTAATACCTGGGTCTATGTACACACACGTCTAATACACGTACATATACATTTCAGCGTGATTGGCAACTCCGTAGAGCTATATATGATATACGTATATGTTATATTTCGTTGCTCCAATCCTCATTTCATTCATCTATTCATGAAGTTGAGATTTATATATATATTACTCGCTCTTGAATTGTATTATGCGAGTACGTTATTTCATGGATAAACAAATTAGTACTTTTTTCCCCAAAGACATCGGCTTTTGTGTTTTTTAACTGAGGAAATCCAAACGGACGTGATGGTGATTTCGAACGGATAATTAAGCTCCTTTTTATATATACATACACATATATATTAAGAAATCCGGTCGAGAGCAAAGCTGCGTGGGTGCCGGCTCTGGTGCGTACGGCTAGAATGAAACAATTCAATCCATTAGGGAACCCTAGGAAATATTATATATATACCATCGGATCGCACCTTTCGGTTTTTTTTGCCACTCCTTTTCGAGAGTTTTGCAACGCGTCTGAATTTATCATTACAGTACAATAAGAAAGAAAAAAAAAGTAAAGTCTTTTTTTTTCTTCGATTGGTGATAAAAAAAAAAAAAAAAATTAGACTCTCGTAACAACGATGTTTTTCTCGATTTCGTTTTTTATTTCGTATTTTTCTTTTGAAGAAAAATTTCATTCAAGCTTATAAATACACCAGAGTCAATGAAAATAACTTTTACTCGCCCTCACCTTGCCGCTGATTCATTTACCCGGTGGGATGTATAAGTGCACACGCTAAAAGCGTCGATCCGACACCCACAGCCTTGACTAAACATCGTCAAATATACAGCCGCACAATGTTCCATTACAATTAATTTCCAGCTCTCGCCGTCGCCGTCGTCGAATATCACACGATGTATCCAGAAAACAGATGTACAAACATAATTTACGACACATTGTTCGGCACGGCTTGTGTTTGCGCAGTGCACGCCCGCCGAGCTAATACTCGTGTTTACCCGCCGTGCAATACACACTCGGGCTCTTAATCGCTTATTCACTGCTTTCCACGGATTAAGCGTTACCTAAAAATAAATAAAAAAAAAAAATAAAAAAAAATCAAATGCACCAGTCCAAGTCTCTTATACATATACGATTTTCCGTGTACACTTGCACTCTCGGCAAATATAGGATGACAGCCACGCATTAATTTTGCGCTGTACGTGCATGTACATATATATACACTTGTACAATTATACTTTAATTATTCCTTTTTTTCCTTCCATTCGTTTGTAAACGTTTTCTACAAAATTGTCGATTCATCGAATCACGATAGTATCATCTATACGTTTCTACTCGAATCGAAACGAAAATTCATTCCTCGTCACTTTTTCGGTCGCCATGGACAGAGAGTTGTACATGTACATGGTTTTTTTGTTTGGTCCAAGGTGAGACAGTCTCCAGGAGAAAGAGAGCCGCGTGTATGCATTTGCGTGAAAAATCGGCAAGAGAAAATAAGGAGTGCACCGCGTCACTTGCCAAAAATAAACGCGAGTGCTCGGCAAAAAGGAAAAAAAAAAAAAAAACGTCACCTCTCTCGGCCACAACGAGAACCTGCAGCGGCGTTTTCTCCGTATACGAGAAGAAAAAGAGAAAACGTCAGCGGACGGACGAGCATACGCGCGCACACGAGGTGGGGAGTGAAAAAAGCGATTGCGAATCGTCGGGGGGGGGGGGGGTACAACGATTTGCCATTGAAATCGGGGACCCGCGCGCGAACCATTTATGGAGAGATTTCGATCGGTGCAGGTGGTCCTCCCCACCCCTACCTCGTCCCTTTAGCCTTCTGCGAGCCAGCGTTTTTATCTTTCGGGCTTTCTCGGCACCGAGAGACCCGTTGACCGATTTCGCGACGTCTTCCCGGACTTTTGACTCGATGCGCGAAAGTTACACTCACTCTCTCTCTCTCTCTCTCTCTGACAACGGACCAGCTTGTTACGCAAATGCGCGCACCATTGAGGCAGGTAGTATACATATAGGAATCGCTGGTTTAACAACGGTATATTATATGCAGGGCTGCTCCAGGTATACAATACACAACGTAACACTCGCGGCGGGGGGGGGGGGGGCGGGGTTGTATTATATCCGCTGAAAGAGAGTCATTACGCATTGTTACGTCCCACTTATTCGCATTGCCGCTGCCGAACTTTCTTATTGCGCGCGCGTATGTACTTACCCATGGCTTATCCTTTTCTCCGACGCGCGTGTTACAAAGAAAAGACGGAGCGTCCAGGACAATGAGACAAGTTCCACTGTGCATTGTATCTTGAGTACATAATATGTGTGTGTGTGCACGATGGCTTTCAAAATTATAATACACCCTTGCCGATGAGTCGCGTAATAATAAAGCTTGCCATTATGTGGATACGCAAAACTGGTACACCTATACCTATGACGTTGTAAACGTAGTGGCCTTTTCTTGATTCGCGTGTTTTAAAATCGTGTATACTTGCAGAGTTTCAACACCGTGCCGATCGATCCCATTACCAATGAGTAGCTGCGTGAGTCAGAGAGTCAGCAAATTTCCACATCCCAAGGAGATAATCAAGTTTTCCGGTTGTATATAGGTGTATACTCTCTAGGTCGATCCATCCTTCCCGACCGATTTTCTCTCCGAGGCGGTATACTGGCGCCGTCCGTGAAATCGGCAAGAAGAAGGCACGAAGTTGTACTTGCGCGCCCGAGGCCGTTTGGCAGCGCGCCCATATTTATATACACGGGCGACCCTGTGTCTCCCTCGTTTCCACGGGGTCCGGAAAAAAAAGGCCAGCCTTTGCCTTTTGCGGTAAAATTGCATCTGTACTCCCCCCCCCTAAAATAACAAGAAATATACGAGTGTTCCCCCCCCCCCTTAACAAAACGGGCCCGACGATTTCGAGGAATCACGAGAGGGAGCCCCCTGAGAATTGATTGCGGCCCGATAAGGCGGCTTACTCGCTTTGATTTCACGAGCGCGTGTAATAAACTTTGGATGTGACACGCTTTTGCCCGAATACATATACATACGTGTATATATCCTCCTCCTCCTCTTTCCGCGTTATTACAACCTTTGCGCATACACGTAATACTTACCTGTACCTATGTATTATGTGCTTTTCACACTTGGCTTTACGGATATCGAGTCTTTTGATGTGTATACACCTTTTTTTTTTTTTTTTTTTTTATAGCTCATGACGAGCCTTAAACAGGTATAGATAAGCAATGGTGGTGCGTATGTTAAGAATAACAATAAAAAAAAGGAAGGTTTTAATGGCGCTGGTGAAGAGGCTATCGAGAGGCACCTCCGACGCTCACGTCCGGCCTTACCAGACTTGGCTTTTTCTACTAACGACCCGCGCTCATGGCTCGTGGATCGCCCTATATTGCGGCCTCCCGTGATTTTCCGTTCGAAGACGAATCGGTCGAAAGTTTTCCCCCCTTTCGATGTGAACACCAGTCGCAAAAACAACGTCAACGGAGAATAAAGGAGAGAGCAAAGTTTTACGTACACTTGCACCACTATACTGCCGTCCAACGGAAAAAAAAAGTATAAGTGACAAACTGAGAAAATCAATGATAATTTGAGTATTGGACAACGGAAAAACTGTTTTTTATATAAATATGATATAATTATTCTATTTTCCGCAAAAGAAAAACGATTTTTCGATGGGAACTATGAAAATCTGTACTTACCCTTTTAACTCGGTACAATTTCCTCGTAAAAAAAGAGTAAGTGCAAAAATACAGCTTATTCAATGGGGCTTACCCTTTTTCTACTTTGGAATCGAAGGCGGTGCTCATCGATTTTACAACGCAAAAAAAAGGTAAGTGCACGTACGATGTCTGCCTGGCGCGATTTCCCTTTTTTTGATCGCTGACGAAAATTATTAGCAACTGTTCCAATTTACGTTAAATTATTACTAAATCACGTTATAAGATATTTAATTTGTAGATATGCTATTAGACGCAGGATTTTCTGACGAATCGATTGGTGTAAATAACCCATTTTCGACAAAAATGTCACTTGTACCTTTTCTTCCGTTGGACGGCAGTATAGATAGTATAGATAAATGAGCGCAGATGAACACACACACACACGATCGCACGAACACGTGCGGGGCTGCATCTATCGGCAACCGCGTTTTCTCTGGCACGAGGTATTACATGTAATATAGAAGTGGTAGTATAGTAGAAGATGAAGAAGAAGGCACCGGAGGGGAGAATTAAACAGAGAATTATCCCACATCCTTCGGCGCCCGTCTTCCTACATGTACCCACTCTTCTCGGTTCCATTCAAGAGATACTCCCCCCTCCCCCTCCCTCCTACTCCTTACTCGTGGTGTACATTATATACACCTATAAACCACCTCATCTCTTTTCCTCCTCCTCCAATGTACATACACACTACATCTCATATAAGAGTATATGCTCACCAATCACCTACTCCTGCCCACTACATTTGCCCCGCAAAACGTGCGATGCGCGCCTCCGATGGATCCCTCTCTCTCTCTCTCTCTCTATCTATCTCGCGGGCAGGAGTAGCGGAGCAGCGGCGGCGCCGTTCTCCTCGCGGCGGCAGCAGAGTCCTCGGAGCAAGACACAACACCCGAGCACACGCCGAGGCAGAGTTTGCCGCGGCTCCCGCTCGAGCGAACGTCTCTTTATTTTCGCGTTCGTGTCTACATATATATACACACAATCGGTATACATATACCTTCATTATACACAGCTGCGCCCGCGAGGCTCGGGTAATATACGCATATAAACTTGCCTTTCTCTGTGCTGGTGCGGCCGTCTCTATAAGTACAAGTATCGGCCTGTGGCTCTCTTTCATATAAAAACGTTGTTGTTTACTTCCTCTCTATCTCTCTCTCGCGAGCCTCGCTGCCCGATGTGGTATGCCCCTGGCTCGAGGCAGTGGGTTAAAAGTTAACCGAGCACCGATCGCCTCATGAGATACTTCGTTTCCCTTGTACCTGCAGTGATTGATCCGCATAGCCCTCGTCCTTTTTTTTTTTTGGACCTTCATTCGGTTGTTATATATGTGTGCAAAGTGAGGAGCAGGATCGGTTTTTCAAGTGCTTCGGTTCGTTCGAGTAAAGTTTTCCAAAGAAGACGGGAAGAGGACGTGTCGGAGAACACGAAGGTAAGGATCGGCAAGGCGATATGATCCCGAGTTTTCGAAAGATATATTGTACCTACCTATTTATATACGTATAGTGTGGGCAACGCTCTTACCTCAATAAATTACATAATTCGGGAGATCGCGCGTGTACACATTGGCGAGTACTGTGTACCTGCGTTGTGGTTCGAAGCTAAATTATACGTCACTCTCGGTTCGGGTGTGCATCGTCGCCGATTGACTTCCGAGCCGTGCACCTGTTGACCAAGGATTTTTCTTTGGTTTTCCGTGATACCGATCATTCGAGACCCGTGGAATGTACGTATGTACATATATGTATACATAGACACGGTGAATCAAAGGGCGACGCTGGGAAGGGAGAAATCGGCAAAAGATCGGTAGTTGCGGCGCCCAATGAAGGGGAGAAGAAGGGAAAGGTGAGCCTTCGCGGCTTAGGCTTAGGCCACGCGATGTGGAATGCAGCGAGAAGGACGGGCACGGGTATTATATACATACATATATATAAACACGGTACAGAGATCGAGAGAGACTCAAGTGGTAGAGCGCGTTTGTTCGTGCGGGGTTTTGCAAGCGAGCAAAACTCGGGAGAATTAGGCGAGCCTCATCCGCAAAAGGCTACATATACGTGTTGTATATATACATATACAGCTCTCCCTCCCCCATAGTTGATACCTCATTACCCGAATGTGTATACTGCAGGTACGCTCGTTTGTCGTCGTGAAATTCGTGCACCGATCGTTCGTGTCTTTTAAAAAAGGGAGAATTGCCGCTCGAGAAATCAGGGGAAGGGGGACAGGAGAGAGCCTTTTTTTTTATCTTGTCCTCCTCCTCCTGCCCCTTGTGTCCCTCCGATGTCGTATACAAGTATATACACACGCGAGATCGATGGGCCTGGGAGAGGAATTTTTCGTCGTGCCGTGTCACACTATATATGTATATAACATAAGTGGGGGGGGGGTAGGTTGTAGTTGTTGTTCGGTTTCGGGATGTTTTGCAAGCTCCGTTTCGCAAAGCCGAATCGATTAGATTCCTCCTTGTTGGTCCTACACACACGCCGTACGAATAGTTTGTATGTCCCTAATGATTCTTCGAATCGGGAATTTCCCACGTAAATTTATTCCATTCGTGCGATTCACGGGCAGGTATATATATATATATATATATATACAGAAACACACTCCCTCGCCAAACACCTGTCCCGAAGTTTTCATTGTCGGACGGGGGGGAAAAAAAGCGTATATATCATACACATAAATCAGAGCTGCACCGAAGGTGAATATGTTTTTCTTTCTCGTTTCATCGAGTTCGTATTATTTTCTCGGTGAATCCATCGCGGACGTCAAACGTCATCGCACACTGTGTATCGTTACGTGGTAGGAATATATATATATATATATATAGAGAGAGAGAGAGAGAGAGGGGCACTACAGCTCTTCAAAACGAATAAACGAACAAAGCAGTGTCTTCAGGTATATATAATCGGTACAGTAAAATGTATAGGTATGGGTGGGTGGATGTGTACACACGTATCGGGCGCGCATACACGTACACACGGTTGTATATAGGCAAGGAGAGCTCGTTGCGCAGCTCACGGCAAGTGAAATTACGTAAGAGCGCGCAAACTCCCTCCTTCTCTCCGTACTCTCGGTTGTGTGTATATTATATATATATACGTATAGGTGCTTGTACACACGCGCTCGTACTCTTTTCTTTACTCGCTAGTGGAATATAATGCGCTCGACTTTTTGGAGCACACGGGCATCACCTACTTGTAAATACATATACCTACGTGCAACGAGTAAGCACGCGAGAATCTGCCTGTTGCTTTTCGCTGTATTTGGCTCATTTTTTTTTTTTTTTTTTTTCCTTCACTCTCTCTATCTCTTGGGCTACACTCTTTTGCTTCATCGTCGTGGAATTTCCATCTCTCCGCTCTCTTGGGGGCTTTTTATTTCCCCGCGGGCCGTTTTCCGCGGTGTGTGTGTGTGTTTGTCTGTCAGTTTTTCGGGTTGCTTTTGTTTCGTCGAGTGAGGCACGAGATCCAACAGACCCTCCGATCCAAACGGAGGCTCGCGGTTTTTCCCCCCCTGTAAATAATATTTTTTTTTTTTTTTTTTTTCAATGGTAATAACCGAGAGCGAGAACAATGCGATTTTTGTTTGCACACATGCGATGCTCGCTTGGGAAATGTACTGCACGAGTCATGCCGAGCGAGTGTTATTTTGGAGGCTGATCGAGTCTCCTTTGATTCCTTTCGAAGGCACTAAGTACAATTTTTACGTCAAACGTCATTTCGTGCTTGACCGCGTCTGACCAAAAACGGCTGTTTCTACTAGAAGGGCGCTCATTTTTCTTTGATAAGACATGGCGCATCTCCGGGTTGTTTTTTTTTTTTTTTTTTCTTCTTGCAAAATTAAGCAATATACAGCAATTATGACACTCTGATCTTTTTACCACGTGCATGGATTATCAATTTCGGGTGCAAAATTAGTGGTATTGACATGACAATTAATCCGCTTGAGGCTTGTATTTTTGCAAAAAAATTTGAAATCAGGCGAGCGTAGCCATCCGTACATTCACGTGTGGCTAAGAAAAAAGGTAAATAAATTAAAAAAAAAAAAAAAAAAAAAAAGTAGAATTTAGAATCGCATACCTACATAAAAACTAAATTGAGATGCATAGAAGAGCTCGTTGCTGAAACAATCTTTGCATATAATATATTCGAGGCAAAAGAGAGAGAGAGAGAAGAATGTCAACTATTCCATTCGCATTGGATGTATAATCAGCTCCTGTATTTCATCTGAGCAAGTTACTATTGTTGCAGGAGGTGTACGCGCGCACAAATATATGTCGCGGTTTTGGAAGTCGCGATGGACGTGTCCGATTCACCGGTAGCAAATATATATACACGTATAAGACAATCTATACGGCGCTAAAGAGAAAAGTATATCGAGGAGAGGAGAAAGTTTGTGTGTAAATCGTCGTCTATACGTCGCTGTCGTCGTGTGATACGTATCGACACGTTTGTCGAGTGCGTTCATGCATATATAGCCTGTACACATATATCCTTTTTTTTTGTGAGAGATGAGAATTTTCAAAGGTATACACGTACATACGATCCTTCCTCCGAGAAAACTAAACTGACGAGGGCACACGGTGCGAGTTTCACTCGTGCAAACACGTGAAGGGAGAAATTCGATGAATCGATAAATATTGGCTCTGCCGGTTCCGTACCCGGGAAGTAGGTCCTTTCCTTCTTTTTCTTTTTTTTTTTTTTCATATTCTCGAGAAAGGCTTTTGACACACATTTCATACAGAGCGCACGTTAAAGGTCATTGTTTTGTTGCTGTTCGAAAATCCATATAAAAATGGTATTCGCACTCGGAATCCAGAGCTTGTTGGGAAAAAAGGACTAAACGAAATCCATCCGCGCGCGTATATGCTGAAACGAGAGTGAGATACTGGTTATTTTCGAGCGCCGCGTATGGGTGCACGCTGCCCACAAGCGAGTATATGTATATGTATAACGCGTAACGCGCGATTTATGCAAAAATTTAACCTTCGTCTCTTTTTTTTTTTTTTCTCTCTTCAAAATCAACCAATGTCACCGGCCCGACTCTGTAATTTATTAACGAGATGGAGCAAAATCAAGGAAAAAGAGAAAAAAAAAAGGTAACAACAACACTCGTGTCCTCCCACGCCGTCTGCCGAGCTGCTTGCACAACAACAACAACTTCAACTTCTCTTTCGTTGCACGCGTGTCTCGTTTTTATGATGAAGAACAAAAAAAATGGGTGGCGGGGATTATTTGATGAATTTTGAAAAATAAGGGAAAACCTTGGTAACTGTCAGTCACATTATTAACTCCGCGCAAGTGGGTTGGATGAATTATATCCCTATCCATAGAGATTCACAAGCTACATTGAACGAATCAAGAGAGGAAAGGAAGTATAGTCGTTGTCCACGATGCTCGTGCAACAATAAGTAGGCAAATAAGCGGTACACATTGAAAATGCCCGCGTCCTTGAGGAGGTCACTTGGTACAGCTGCTGGCCATCAGCTGCTGCGCTCGAGCGCCCACACTATCTCTGTTACATAGAAAGAGAGTGAGGGAACTGTGCCTCTCCGTGTGCATGAATACATATACGCAAATAGGGGGGAGGGGGGCCACCCACGACACTCCCTCTCCGTGCCCTTCTTGCATTGCTCTCTCTCTCTCTCTCGTCCGCTTATTCACGACAGCGGCTCGTGTAACAACCATACCTCGGAGAGAGGACAAACACTATACTCACACATATTATTTTATAAGCTGCTCGAAAAAAAGAGGTGAGCGAGAATCGAGAGGTGTCTTATCTTGTTTCTTTCTCCCTCTCTTTTTTTTGTACGTACACCACCTCTCCCCCCATGCATCCTCTTATATGTGCGGTGCAATGTGCTCTATATCTATACGCTCCTTACCCGATTACAAACACGTATACATATACTCGACGACTGGCCGACTCTCTTTTACGACTCCTTTCCACCCACCTGATGCTGGATTCCGGTTTTTCTAACTTTTTTTTTTTTTCTTTCATTTATACATCTTTTTTTTTTTTTTTTTTTTTTTCCTTCTCCTTAATGGCCGCTGCAGAGAGGTGATCGATGAAGTTGGCAAACGCAGCTTACAACGCTGTTTCGACGGACCGGCTGTACAGGTATTATACAAATAATAATAATACAGACACACCCTATGGGCTCGATCGCACGCGCGACCCGCTCCTCGTATATTGTACACGGGCATTATGGGATATGCGTATGTATGTATAGGTACTTGTTGCGTGGGATCGGGTGTCTTAATACCACACGTATATACTTACCCATACATCACAGTTTTCCGGTTCTCGAGCTTAGAAAAGCACACGTACGTCACGGCTCGAGTGATGAGTATTTACGATGCATTCGAGTGAAAGTGCCAAAATTTCCTAAACCTTGTTGGTATACAAATGGTATATATGCATACATAT